AGGACCCAGATTGTTGGGGGCAATATGCCGACTCTCTGTAAACCGCTTAGAGAGGCCTGAAAGGCCTATGAAGCGGTATATAAGTCTACTGCTATACTGCTATAACATACAAGAAAGAAACCATACAAATGACCTATAAGTAATGTAGGTTTAAATACAAGAGAGAAAGTTAAGGAAATAGACATTAGGCAAAAGTTGATAAGTTTAGAGAAGGCTTAAATTTCACTTTTGATCTCTCATTGGAAGTGTAGAAATTGACTGTTTAAGTTCTTCCCTGATTCATTTTACTGAAGGATATCTCAGAAGTAGACCTTTGGTTGGAGAGAGAAAATGGAAAATATAAATATGATAAAGATGTATTGTGTGAAGGTTTTTTTAGGGGAGTTATCAAGCTTTTTCCTCTCAACAGGATCCCTCCAAGCTTTGCCCACTCCCACAGAGTCCATATAGGCATTTCTTTCCTTCACAGAGTCCCCACAGGTCTTTCTTGCCCCATAGAATCCCCACAGGCCTTCTCCTCTCACTCAGTCCTCACACACCTGCTCGCCACAGGCCTTTTCCCCACCCATAGGGTCCCCAAAGGCTTTTTTTCCTCTCCTGCTGCATCCCCTCAGTTTTTAGGCATGACCCACACCCTACCAGGCCTCACAACCTCCTCCTCCATACTCTTTGAAGGTCTCTGAACCTCAAGTTGGTGAATAAGGCCCGGACACGCATCCCAGGGCCACATGGCTATGTCCTGGAAGCAGCCATTTTTTCAGTGTGCCTGGGATTTAACCCTGGGCCATGTGATGGGCTTTTGTAAGCAACTGCCATTTTGTCACACCTGCCTCTGGGCCAAAATGGCGATTGCTTCTGTCTCATTTTCACACAGGAAAGGGAGAAACTACTCTGTTTCGCTAACTTTACAGTGTGCAAACTACATTAAGGGATTGTGGGTGCACTGAATATGATAGCTGCCTCCAGGAGGTCTCTAAAAGGTAAGCGTTTGATGGGTGAGTGGTGTGTAGGGAATAGGCCCAAGGCCCAATGAAAAAAGCAATGTAAATTTCCAAATGAAAAGGCTATTCTGCCTTGCAGGTGAACCTGATGGAGAAGAACTGTAAGAATATTGAGTTGAATAGAAAAGGGATTGTGGCTTTTGTTAAGTCCTCGTGGTTACGACCGAGGGGCATCAATCAAAGAAGGAACCGTTCCTATTGGTTCCGACACCTGTGCCGGCCGGCGGGAGAATTGCAGCCATCAGATTGCTTAACCATCTGACAGCTATGGTATAAATAGCTGTCAGATGGAAGGAGAATTGTTCTAAGCTGTTATTGTGGTTGTCAATAAACACGTTAATGGTTCAAACGTCTCTGTTTCCCTCAGTTGCTCAGTACTGAGCACTGGTGACGAGGGTGTGATCTCCCTAGAACTGCACACCTCCCACTCATTCAACACAAGTTGAATTAGATCAGGAAGATAATCACCTCAGGCTCGTTGCTATGGCGGCTATTAACCATTTCCCTGCATTAGTACCAGGACAGGAATCCTAGGATGTCTTTCATTGAGAGGTTTGAATGCTTCCTGCAGGCGAATGACTTTGCAGGCAATCGGATGATAAAAAATGGGGCCATTTTTTAAGCTCCTGTGGGCCAGAGATGTTCTCAACAGCCTGAGCTGTCAGTTCCTGCTCCAATGCGCACTATATAGTGGGAAGTCTTGCTGAGGAAATTGAAGGGACACTACGCACCAGCACTGTTGTGCATAGCAAGGTTGCATGCATTCCACCAGTGCACACAGCGTGAGGGCAAAACCGTCAGCCAATATACCGCATCTCTGTGAAATGCCGCTATACAATGAGAGTTCCAGGATCTGGATGAGGCGCTGCTATAACAGTTGGTTTGCGGGGTAAGGGATCTGCACCTTCAACGCTGCCTCTAGCCCACTAGCCCACTCTGAGTTCACGCTGTAGGTTGCCATGGATGAGACTCGCGCGACGGAGCTGTCAGACCGGTCCATGGCTGAAATCCAAAGATACTACACAGCTCACAGCCAAGCCTCAATTTCAGCCTTGGTTCACCAGCAAGAGACCGAGGATGACAAGTCAGGGGAGGATGAAAAAGTGAGGGGCTATCACCTTAAGATCTCTGCAGACTGGCTGCTTGAGGTGTGGCGGGAAACACCTGAGGTCTACCTGCAAGTTCAAGGCGGCCACCTAGCTTACATCTGCAAGGCCAACCTCCCCTCAGCAGACCAGCCAGGGACTTGCTTCCTCTACAGACAACATGATGGATGACCCCCCCACAGACCCCAAGAGGACTGTTATGCCATTACTGGCAGCCAGGATCAGCCTGAGTGATCACTCCACTACTTCGGATGCTACAGTTCGAGCCGTGCAGTGCTTGTTCACTACCCATGGTCTGCTGGACACTAGAGTGTCCAACAATGGTCCACAGCTAACCTTGGCTTTGTTTCAATCATTCCTAGCAGGATTGGAAATTAGGCATGCACTAGTACCACCCTACCACCCAGCCAGTAATGGATGGGCCAAGCGAGCAGTTCGCTTGGCCAAGGAAGTCTTGGGACGGATAAGTCCCAGAAACGTGGCGGGGAAAATTACACTTTATTTATTCACACAACACATAACTCCCTGCCTAGTGTCCAGCAAAAGTCCAGCAGTTGCTGATGAGCTGGTGACTGAGAACCATTCTAGACAGACTACATCCAACATATGCAGCAGACTGTTCACAGGGGTTGCCAGGGAATGCCCAGCAGTTTCAACCTGGGGACTGGGTATATGCGAAAAACTGCACGGGGAACCCAAATGGATACCTGGGCAAATTACACAGGTAATTAGACTCTGTTCTTAATAGCTCCGGTTAAAAGAAGGTCGAATACGATGGCGACACATAGATCAGATGCGGCGCCATGACGAGCCAACAAGCACAGACGCAGGGCCACTGCCCCCACAGACACAACTCCACCAGATGCCAGAAGCCGCCTATCGGCCCGACTGCATTTCTCCAAGTGAGGCTACAATGCCATCGCACAATGTGTTCTCGTCAGAAAACTCACCTGCTAATTCCGGAAGGCCTACGAGGGAAGAATCTCCAGCCATGGTTAACGTGCAGGTCCCTGTAGCAATAGCAGTAGACTTATATACCGCTTCATAGGGTTTTCAGCCCTCTCTAAGCGGTTTACA